TATATATATATATATATATTCCGCATTGTCATGCCGCATGTGCAAATATCAACAATAACAGTAGCACGACAGAAACCTCGTGCAACCCAATAATACTCGCACAACAGAAACCTTGTGCATTACAATAACAACAACCGCACGGCAGAAACCTCATGCATCGCAATGACAACGGCACAACAGAAACATCGTGCATCATAACAACAAGTACAAGAGCAACAATAGCAATAAATACAAGAGTACGACAAGTAAATCAACTCAAGAACTTTCGATCGTAGAAAAACGGTAGAACTAGTTCACAAGAAATAACCTTTACTCTAAATGGAATGCAACTTAATTCAATAACTTTTCTTGTAAACAACGGTTGGAAAATAAAAGGACTTTTAAGGTTTCGTGCTGATTGTGTCACTTGTCCATCAAATAGTTGAAGTATCAAAGTCAAATTTATATTTGTGAATATGGAGACAATAATTTAGCCAAATTTAAAGTAGAGAACAATAGAAGTCAAACTTAAGTATGAGACAAGAATTATTTGCTAGAATATACCTGAAAATCAAATTGAAAAATTAAAACGATGTTTCCGTCATCAATTTGGGAAATGTTTTTACGCCTAAACTTATTAAAGTGGATGTGAATTTTTTTATTGAAAATTTTCAAGAACCATTCTTTAATTTTGCTCATAAATAAACTTAGATATGCTATTTACATGGTCTTATTTCAATTTCTCGACAAAATACTAATATTCACATGATAAAATTTCTAAAAACTATCATGCGCCGTCTTAATAATTAGATATAAGTTTAATTAACACAAATCTACTCCTCGTTTCATGAGACATCACTTGCATGGAGCTGATCGATCATGACTATGATGATAATGCGTGGAAATAACATCTTCTTTCCACTATTTTTAATATCAAGGAAAATCGACAATAACAATGGTCCCAATGGGTTGGATGTGATTTTCAACATGATGTTATTATAATACTTATCTTTCTAAGGTTAATGAAAAATATTTTAGTATTGGCCAAACATGCTATAATTCTTTTTTAAAAAAAAAAGGTGGAAGATAAACAGAATTTAACTCGTACGAGAGCAATAGACATGATGTAATATGCAAAATAATGACAGGTAGAGTTTGAGAAGATTTTTTGTATACTTAACTATTGTCAATTACCATACGACTATATATATTCTGTGTTCTATGTTGCTGATCTGATCATCTATAAAAAATATTAAGTATTGTTTGACCAAAAAATGTCAAAACCCTTTTTGATTAAAATAATTAATAATGATGATGAGGTCAATATTAGTCAAGTACAATAAAATCTAGATCAAATGATGGAATGAGTAAACAAGATGAAAGATATAATAATTCTATTCGAATCCAATAAGTCCTCATAAATGCGAAGACTTAAATTCATAAGTAGAACCGTCACAGATGCGATCGGTGTAAGAGAGAATAAGTGCGGGATGATTGGAGAATTTTAGGATCTTCTCTGATAAACAAGACTGCTCTTTATTTCAATCTCAGATGATTCTTTTACAAAGTCTCTCCCCCCTCTTTCTTCACTTACCCTTTCTATTTATACGGGAAAATCTCTCAAAAAACCCTAAAAAGTACAACATAGAGCATATTCGAAAAGCATATTCTTACTGCCTCCCACTAAGTTCACACGGTTGTGGACTTTATGCGTCGACTGACCGCCCAGGGATTACCTTCCACCATGACGACCATCAGATGATGCATTGCGATACCCTCGTACCTTTTCCTACTAAGTAATGGCCGTGGTTGCAAAATTTGGACCCATACAGTTAGTCCCTCCGCTTGTTGAAGTTGCGGCCTTGTGCGTCCTTGATAAGCGGACGTCGTCCATACCCGCGAAGAAATTTGGCGGTTAGATCGTACCGGTTTAATTGATAATCGAAAGAGTGGCGCAATCTACGGTATTCCGGATAGTGTAGCACATCGGGGAGTGACGTCACTCTTACGTGCGTCATCATTACGCATCTTCCCGAGGTAGAGACCGATTGGCTTGTCGCTTCGATTTTGGTGCCACTAACAGCCTTTTACTTCGATTCTGGCGCCATCCAAACCTTATAAATAGATGGAGGTTTGGTTCTTTCAAGAACTTTCAAACATTTCCTTTTCTAGTGTATGTGTTATCTTCTTTGGCCATCTCTTTCTGTACCTTGTGCTCTACTTTCGTGATTTTTCTCTTCTCCTTCTACCGTTCATCGTTCTTTGTTTTATCAATATACCTTCTACCATCAAGATGCCTAGAACACATCTCTCTCTCGAAGAGGTTTCCGACGCCACCCCACTTTCTATAGCACATCCCTCTGGTAGTGAGGATGTAGTGGTAGAGGAAGGGGACAACCTCCCCATCATGGAGGAGATACTACCGAGAAATCCCATGGTTTGGAATGATTTTCTTAAAGAGCCTATTCCATCTCCTACTCTGGTGATTTTTGAATCGAGAAGGCTTACATAGATGACCTTCGATCTACGTATAACATTCCCTTCCATGTTGAAATGGTTCCGGCTGGGAGGGACCTTGTGGAAGTTCATAGGCCGGGGTATTGTGCTTTTCACAAATATCCCCTCATGATAGGCCACTCATTCCCCCTTCTTCCATTAGCGGAGGAATTTTTCCGTTTCTATGAG